AAAGTCCTCCGTTCATTAGCGTTCGTCCTCCAGCTTTACTGTTTATGTTAACCAAAACTACAAAACGCCTAAATATCCCTAAAGATCAAACCATGACACAAAGAGTGGTTATTTCTAGTTTGAGTCTTTAGTTTTAGTTATCTATAATAACCTTGTTTACTATTACCTCATTTTTAACAGGATACGATTGTAATGGCAAATATACAAATTCAGATTTATTTTGAATTGGATTTACACTGAGCTATAAGATTATAATATATAATAAAAATAATTAAATAATTAAAACTAATAATTATTATATTTAACATTTTTCTGCCCTAGTTAAGTAAGGTTGGTTTCACTGCCAATTTGGAAAATGAGCTAAATTATTTGACTGGTAAAAGTAGATTTCAATACGTATATCAATCTATACAATTAAAATTTACAGTCAAGGTGTTATTACAGTAGCTACAATTACAGTTACTAAAAAGTTAGTTGTGTCTAATTCGTATCTGACATTTTTTCTTTTATGGATGAAAAAGATACATGTACTACCTCTAACTCTGAAGGGTGTCTGTTTTCAGATATATCAATACTATCCTGAATTAATGTCTCTGTTTTCAACTCTGATCATTTGTGTTTCCAGATCTACGATTCAGAGGGAACGTTACAGCACTTCATCGATGGTAATGATCCCAGTAAATCCAGCTGGATGAGGTATATTCGCTGTGCGAGACACTGTGGGGAGCAGAACATGATGGTTGTACAGTACAGGTAGGTGCAAGTCTTACATGTTATTTGTATTCATTTTTCACAGTGTAGATTCAAAGCACACAATGAACAGTTACTTATACTGTTGCATGTTTATATTGAGTAACTTAAAACAAAGGCAAGTTTTTTAGACTGGTTCTGTATAAAATTTGATTTGGATTTCCTTTAAAAATGTAAATAGAATTTTCCCAGAAATATTACAAAAAGACACCTAATCACGGAATATATTTTACTATGCATACACCAAAAGGTGTCACCAAGACGTGGTGCTTTTTTCAGAAAAAAACCCACCTTTAATTATTGGGTTGGACTGAGATTCTACTCTGTCTGTGACCTTTTGTTTTAAGACGAATCTCACTAACACCTGTTAGTGAGTTATAAGCACAAACCTTAGTTCAACTTATTCTATAATAAATGTCAAGATAAGGTAAATATGTATAAACTTGTATAAATGATAAGTTATGCTTAGCTAAAATGATTGGACATTCTTTGCATTTATAATGCTACTGTCACGATTTACCATAAACAAAAACAATATACATGCACAAACAAAAAGCTGATTTTCTCTATTTTTTAAATCTGATTCAGCGCGGTGGCACAGTGATTAGCACCGTTGCCTCAAAGCAAGAAAGTTCTGAGGTCAGTTCCAACATCACGCCGGGGCCTTTCTGTGTGGAGCATGCATGTTCTCCCTGTGTTTGCGTGGGTTCTCTCCGGATACTCCGGCTTCCTCCCAAAGACACGCAGTCAGTGGGGTTAGGTCAATTGGAGACTCATAGGTATGAATGTGGGTGTGAGTGTGAATGGTTGTCTGTTTCTATGTGTTAGCTCAGCGGTCCCCAACCCCGAGGCCATGCACCAGTATCAGTCCATGAGTCGTTTGGTACCGGGCCGCGAGTGTTGAGGTCCAGGTGTGAAATTTATGGTTTACAGGTTTTTTTTGTTTTATCATTAATATTCATTGTTTTTATCGTTACCTCAGTTTCCCTGTGTCTTTTCCTGTGTGTTATGAATACATTTTATTTATTTATTTTTGGTACCGGTACTTGTTTTATTTTGTTGTATTTATCTGCGACACCTTAAAGGCCGGTCCATAAAAATATTGTTGAACATAAACCGGTCCGTGGTGCAAAAAAGGTTGGGGACCGCAGTGTTAGCCTGTCCAGGGTGTAACCTGCCTTTCCCCCTAAGACAGCTGGGATAGGCTCAAGCCCTCACCCCATGACCCTGACAAGGATAATGGATGGTTGGAGTTCTTTGTTATATTTTCATAGATTGCTTCACCAGCTAAATTTCAAAATAGATCTAAATAATGTAATACTAATACTGATACGACTACTAACAACAGCAGTTTGGATTTCTTGAAACGCACTATGTATTAGCTCCCTTCCTTATCTCTTAGCTTTTTGCATATTTAGCACAATGTAAATTTATCTTTATAAACAAAAAAGAAAAAGAAAATAGTCAAAGGCCAAATTTCTCAATGAACAGGTCACGGGAGCATGTTTCAGGGAGTGGGCAGCACTAAAGGCTTTGCCCCAAAAGACCTGTCTTATGTATGGGATGGAGAATGGGTGACTTAGTTAAAATCTTAGAGTCTAAGATGCAGTGTAGGGGAGATCCAGTAAGTACTGGGGAGCAGGGGTGTGTCAGGATTTGTAGAAGAGGAGAAGGGTTTTGTAGGAGATACAGAAGACCAGGAGACTTTGTAGTTACATTTTGTAGGTTGTTAGGACTTGCTGTGGGTAACAATTCTGACAGCTGTGTCCTGAACATAGAACATGTCCAGGGCTTTGCATTGCAGCAGTCCAGGCAGGAGTTAATGAAGACATGAATGAGAGTTTCAGCTGCAAAGTTCAGATTCAGAGCCACATATAGTATCATGATAGGGCATGTTTTAGTCTAATGTAGACTAAGATTGGGTGTGCTGGTTTTGATGATTGGTTTAGTTGATTCCTTGTCTTTGCCAGCAGTGCAGTATTTAAAATGATCTACACCAAAATGGACACAAGCGTATTGCCCTGAAATTAGGTTTCACATCACTACAGCCAAACCTTTGGTCCAGCGAAGACAATAAACCACAAATTTCTTCATGTGGTTTTTAACTTTATCTACTGGTAATGTCTGAGGTTTTCACTCCTTTTCATTTATTCATGTTTTTTAGCATTTATATATAAATTTATTAAAGTCAACAGAAATTTCCTTAATAATATGTACAATGTAATTATTTATATCCTAGTGTTTTCTAGCTGCAGGAGTTGTTGGTTTCTTTTAGTTGTAGAAAACTAAGGTTAAACTTTTGCATATACTTTTTTATTTCTTCATTTTTGATACATCTCTATCCATCTTTCTTTTTCTTGTCCAGTAGAGTAGAGATCTAAGAGAATTAAGCTTTGGGGTTTTTTCTTCTCTTTCCCAATTTTTAGAGATGAAAATTGATTACGAAATGGCAAGCTTTATGCACTAGCATTACATTATAAAAAAAAACCACAACCACAGTTGAATTAGTATGGTGCCATTTTTTATTCTGTTTACAGGGAATCTATCATTTACATTTTTTTTTTTTCACAATGACTGTCTTGCAGTTGTTTCTAATCAAACCCCATACCGCGCGATTCAAATGCAGGAGTGCAGATGAGACATCCCTTTGAACTTATTATGAAAAACCTGCTGATAATCGTAAATACTAGGTAAAAAAAACCCAAACATTTTCACACTTTACACAGAGATGTAATGACATCGGTATATTGTAATATACCAATGAATTTCAGGTTACGGGTTTGTAATTTGAACTTCACCTAAGAATAAAAGTGCACTTGGTTTATTATTAAACTTCTGCTAAGTGTATATAATGAAAATGGAGAAAAAAAGAAATAGGATTTTACAAAGGTCTCTTAGAACACCTTGCCTCTTTACATGTAACATGTTTAAAACAATAGAATGCTCATTTAGCTATACTGTCTGAAGTTCAGCACTTGCTTCTAAGGTATGCTTCAAATGTATTATGATGCAGTAGCAACTGGAAAATTGTTAAGACAGTTCTGCTATACACTGGCACACTATACATCAAGGATTCGAGCTAGAATAGCAAGAAATATGTACATTCTTTCCTTAGAAAATAATTTTTGTATTATTACAAGATGCAAATAATAAAGTTTCTGATGAATGACCATATGGTCTGGTGTGGTTTGGTATCTTTGATGCAGCTGGCCTTAGCTGCACTAAGCTAATAATTGTTTGGACACTGTCACTATCAGTCTCAGCAAAACTGATTTCAAATAATTTGGGCATCTTTGCAAGATTCCTCCTATGCCTGACATTATAAAATCTACAACTATTATAATGGAAGCGTATTACTTCTTATTTTGAAGCAATAACAGTATGACATTCCTGAAGGTGTCGGCAATTAATTTTCCCAAGGGGCCACATAAGAAACGGGTTATCTTTGTGGACAGCTGCCTCAGAAAGTATTAACTCATAAAATAACTCAGTTGTCTTTATCAACTGCCAAGGCTTATTGGAGGTAAGTCTTGTCACTTGGCAACCATCTTGTTATTACCTCCAGGATGTCATTTTTAAAATTCTTGTCCAAATTAATGGAGAGAAAGTTATAACTTTAATGGTAGTTGAATACATAGAGAATTAACAATTTTAATCTTTCTCAAACTTAGAAAAAATGAAAATATTATATTTAAAATTTATAGGGAAATATCAAACTAAAACACATTTGCTCCCATTTAAAATCTGCTGTCAGACAACGTTTTATAAAATTTTACAAAATTGTTGTTTATTCATATGTTCCTGGATCCACTTATCTATTTCGTCCTCATGTTGTTTCTTCAGTTCATCAATTTGTTTTACGGCTTGACAAGAACGTTTAAGCTCATTTTTTTCTTTTTCTTGTCGCTTATTCATTTGATCCTAGTCCTTCTTATTTTCCTTTTTTCGGCATAGCTGTTGAATCATGAAGTCATTGGTTTTTTGTTGTTTTAGCTTCATTTTTTCAAATTCTCTTTCTTGTGTAGCTACCACAACTGCAAAGTCAGTTGTTAATCTCTGTCTTAATTCATTAAACCCCTCTGTTTGTTTTCTGGCTTCCTCTTGATTTTTCTTCATCATTTCCTCCACTTGCTTTTGAAAGTTTTCATGTAATTCTTGCCATTCTTTTTCCTCCTGTTCTTTTTGGATTTGATATTCTTTCTTTTCCTGTTCATATTCTTCTCTGAGCCTTTTCAGTCGTGTTTGCTCCTTCAATCTGTGTTGGCCATCTTGAAGTCGTTTCTTCTGCCACTCTTTTGGTTCTTTTCCCAAAACCTCACTTTCTTTTCTGATGTTCTCTGAATTAAATATCAAATTTTGGCCCGTAATTGTCTTTTCTTTTGATTCAGATTGAATTTTCTTCCCCTTTTGTTTCCACGGGTGTTGCTGAATTTCTTCCCTCCATTTCCTCTCTCTTTCCTCTTCTGCCCTCTTTTCCTCTATCATTTTGTTCTCCTCCTCCTCTTCCTTAATGAGTTCTTCCTTCTCTTGCAATGCTTTCTCTTTTGCTGCTCTTTCTTGTTCAATTTTTAGCTGCGCCTCTTGGAGTTTCTTTTCATGTTCTTTCTCAAGGTCCTTCTTCTGTCTTTCTATCTCTTCTTCTTTCTCCTTCATAATCTTCTGAATTTCCTTCTGAATTGCTGCCTCTGTCTGTTTGAACATTTCTGAGGTGTAGTAGCCGCCACCATTTTTCTTCACCATTGACTCAATCTTGGCGAGCAGCTGACTAACTTGAGAGCGGTTACTTGGATCATTGTTATTGAACACATGGTATCGTCCTCCACAATCAGCTGTCAGTTTTTTTAGGAATCCTTCGCTGCCTTCTTCTATATAACTCTCAATTGTTTGATTTTTTAGGTCATCTCCTCTGGTGAATAAGATAATGATGAAATCATTTGAATTCTTGCCAAAAGCATCTTTGATGAGCTCCACAGTTTTTCTTTCCTCCTCCGTAAAGCGACCAATCTGCAGGACAAGTAAGACTGCATGAGGTCCAGGAGCCATCATTGTGAGACATTTCCTGAGTTCCTGTTTAAATTTATCATTGGACAGCTTCGTGTCATATAAACCAGGTGTGTCCATCACAGCAACAGAGCGCCCATCAATCTCTCCTGTTACTTTTTTGCAATCCACGGTCACTGATTCCGCACTGGGTGTCGAATGGAAGTGTTCTTTTCCCAAAATAGTGTTTCCAGTGGCACTCTTTCCACTTCCAGTTTTCCCAATCAACATAATCCTGAGACAGTCCTGGCTCTTTTTTTCAAATCTTGACTCTCCCATTTTGGATTTATCTCCTGCGCTTTTGTGCATGAAAGGATTTTCAATAATTTCTTTTTTGAAGCCTTTAAATGGTGTTTTCATCTCTTCCACAGCATCCAATAACTGAGGGATCTGCTGTCTGTCCTTGATGTTGAGGATAACATATCGGCCACTGAAACTCTCGCAGAGCTCTTTGATCTCTGTGTTCATTTTTAAAAAGTGAACAATACCTGGGTGTGTAGGATTGGTCTCCACAGTAAAAAGAACCATTGTAAAGTCCTTGACTTTAGAGCTCATTATTTGTTTGAAGGTCTCCACCTCACTCTTGTCTTCATCAGTAAGGTGATCCAAGGGTTGAACTAGGATGAAAGCGTGGACACCCTCAGGATCACAGAGAGAAACTGTCTTGATTGCTTCACTAACTGCTTCCTCCTGAGATTTTCCATGGAGAGCAGGCAGTTCCACTACTGAAACCAGTCGACCACACACCTTTGCCTCATTTTTATCACACGCTGATGAATTAGATTCTATTTTTTTGTCTCCCAAAATGGCACTGGCAGTTGATGCCTTCCCAACTCTAAACCTCCCACACAGTACCAAATTCATAGGTTTCAGATTTGGAATTTTAGGTCTCTCACAAATTACTAACTTCACAGGAGGCTTTGGTTTCTCAGATTCTTCAATCCCATCTTCCCATTTCCCAAATAGTGCTAAATTTTTTGATTTTGGCATTTCAGGTATTTCAAGGTGCTCTGCGCTTTCAGAAAAATTTAGATGTCCTCCTCTGTTGGCAGTCACAATTTGACTGATCTTTTCCATCAGTATTTCAAAATCAAAGTCAATGTTTTTTTTGTCAAAGTTGAATTTATGTTGTCTTTGTCCGCAGTCCTGGATAAATTGATCGACTGCCACATTCTTTTCTTCATCCTTTTGTGTTATGATGACCATTGAATATTTAAGCGCATCTGGACCAAACAAACTCAAGATGAACTTCAGTGTTTGTCTGTCTTCCTTTGTGAAATCTGAAGGTTTCACTAACAGCAGCAGGACATTTGGCCCAGGGTGACAACGTGCCACACACATCTTCATCTCATGTCTGACTTTTTCCACAGGAAGACTGAAGATGTCTGAGGTTTTCACCACTGTTGTGGGCATTTTCCCCCATTGTCCTTGAGCAATGGATTTCTTTAATATTTTTAGAGGATGAGAATCTCTTTTACCAGTGATCAAGTTACTTAAAGTTGCCTTTTCATGTTGGTTTTTTCCAAATATCACAATCCTGAGTTCGGATGCTGAAGTGGACACAAGAAACATTATGATTAAACACTGTTACAAATAAATTTTCTTTTATTAATTTTTTTTTAAATCATTGTTTAAATTGAAATAGACTTCAGAGCGCTAAACAAATATTTTCAAGTTCATATTCATGGTGGATCACTCTCTGAAAAATATTCAGTTAATTTGTCACAAAAAAATTTAGCAGCTGCTGTAAAACTCAAAAAGGAGCATTTTAGGTATTATTTTATTTATGACTAATATGAATAAATTTGAATAAGTTTCTTTAACTTAAAAAACAAACAACCCCAAAAATATATATATATTGTGCACTTACCAGACCTATATGCTGATCCTGCCATGATTTTATTTTGTTCAGTTCAGCAGCAGAATATGCAGGTGTCTGTTGAATTTTAGGGAAGGGGAAAAAAAAGAAAAGTTATAACACTGAAACACAAATGTGTCCACTGCATTTTATCAAATCCAAAGTCAATGCAGCCTTCTACCAGGAGATTTTAGAGACGTTTGTGTCATCTGCTGACAAGCTCAGATTCGGATTTCCTTTTCCAGCAGGGCTTAGGACTTTCTCACAGGGCTAAAACTACTATCAAACAACACATTTCAAATATCCCACATGTGGGTCAAATAAACTAATAAAGTTTATCTTATCTTAAATAATCGCTGACCATGTTATTGCTGTGTTTGATTTTCAGTCACTTGAAATGAAACTAATAGAGAATGTGTAAGGGTATTGACAAGAGGAAGATGAGGAATACCTGACCTGAAAATACATATATACAAACACACATATATGTATATAGTTAGCGGCCAACTAGAGGCCAACTTCAAGTCCATAGCACAAGCTGCCATCAAGTGCGGGATCTACCAAGGAGATGCTCTGTCCCCACTGCTGTTCTGCATAGGCCTGAATCCCCTCAGTGAGATCATTGACAAGACTGGCTACGGATACCAACTACAGAATGGAGCAATTGTCAGCCACCTCCTGTACATGGATGACATCAAGCTGTATGCCAAGAGTGAACGAGACATTGATTCACGGATCCACACCACCAGGATATACAGCAATGATATCGGAATGTCATTAGGACTGGAGAAATGTAGTCAGATGATAACAAAGAGAGGGGAGGTAGTCATAACTGAGAGGATCCAACTACCAGAAGGCAACATTGCAGACATATAGGACAGCTACAAGTACCTGGGGATTCCACAGGCAAATGGGAACCATGAAGAGGTCGCTAGGAAAGCTGCAAAGACCAAGTACCTGCACAGGGTCAGGCAAGTCCTGAGAAGTCAGCTGAATGGTAAGAACAAGATCTGGGCTAGCAATACCTACGCCCTGCCCGTGATCAGGTACCTGGCTGGGATAATAAGCTGGCCAAAGGAGGAGATAGAAGCAACTGACATCAAGACAAGGAAGCTCCTGACCATGCATGGAGGGTTTCAATTACCCTAAGCCCAGCACCCTGAGGCTGTATGCTAAACAGAAGGAAGGAGGCCGGGGAGTGGTGAGTGTCAGCACCACAGTCCAGGATGAGACAACAAACATCCACGAATACATCAGCAAGATGGCCCCAACCAACCGCGTGCTCACTGAATACCTCAGGCAGCAGAAAACCAAGAATGAGGAAGAAGGGGAGGCACCATCATGAAAGGACAGGCCTTCATGGCAATGTTCCCTCTAAGCTGCGTGCGTGCGCAATTGCGCACAGCTGGCACGGTCTCTGCACACAGAAAATCTGCGTTGCGCACAAAAAAAATCTAACCTGAATTGAAATTCAAATGAATACTTTAAATATTCTGTTTTGCAGTGTTAGTCAGTAAGTGACTGGCTGCTCCCGTATGGGATTAGAATGATGCAACCTTATCCCATAGTCCAGCCAATAATGCGATTCACATTCGTATATACGCAGCTAATCAACGTCGTTGACAGGCTATGACAGCGTCCTTATGTGCCGACACCGGTGTTTTAGCTAGCAAAGCCGCATGGCTGATGTGGAGTGAATCCACGTTAATGACAACGTGTACAACCATTGGAGATGTGAGCAGGACAGATGGAACAATTGACGGAAAAAGTGTGGCCTTCATACCAGTTTTTAAATTGTTGATAGGCCACGTAAAACCAGGGTTGTGATAAAAATATCTGCAATGTTTTGTTTTCTTCCTGAATACTATCGTTGTTTTTATTTACTGCGGGAAGAAACGGTAAAAATTGTATTTTATAAGGAAAACGCTCGAAAGCACTCTCCGCCTGTGAGCAAAAACAAAACCAAAAAAACCCCACCCTTTCCTATTGGTCGAAAAATGTACCATGTCGACCAATCAAAAAATGATATGGCAACAGGGCATTTAGTTGTTTAGGAAGGGGGAAGTTTTAGGAGTGACGGCGGTGTTTTGAGATGTGAGAGATTTTCGACGTTTAGCGCAAATCTTGTGTAGTTAATGTGTAGTGTAGTCAATAGTTTTGTTGTGTGTGTCAGAACAATGAGGCAACTGCTGAATGGTACAGGTGTTGCAGCAGTGATACCTCTCCTGCTGTCAGGCCTGCAGGTATCAGGCTGGTGTTCTCCTTTATCTCATAGTGGACAGAAATTATTTTTTGGAGTGGCACAAATAATTTGTGTGGCATCAAATTTGATGCAGAACAGCTGATTGTTCTGTAAATAGTTTGAAATTTTATTTTTTAAAAAAACGCCTTGGCTGCATTTTTAAATAAACAGCTGCAAAAAACTTTGTTTGCATAACTCAGTTACTTTTTTGAACTATGTAATTAATTGCCCAACATTGGTCATGTATTTTGCAGACAGAGAGTTACAGGACTCTCTCCCAGACCACAGACTCATATTCCTAAAACAAGTCAGAGCTTTATTTAAAAAAAAAAATTAAAAAAAAAAGTTGTGTTTTCAAAATTGGAGTTCAAGTTATTTTTACTTCCAATAGTGTTAACATACTACACAGGTCATGAGCAAGATTTTTTTTTATTTTTCATTGTAAGTGGGCTAAAGCACTTAATTAAAAGTACAGGGTGGGCCATTTATATGGATACACCGTAATAACATGGGAATGGTTGGTGATATTAAAGTCCTGTTTGTGGCACATTAGTATTTGTGAGGGGGCGAATTCCTCAAGATGGGTGGTGACCATGGTGGCCATTTAGAAGTCGGCCATCTTGGATACAACTTTTTTTTTTTTTCAATAGGAAGAGGGCCATGTGACACATCAAACTTATTGGTAATGTCACAAGAAAAACAATGGTGTGCTTGGTTTTAACGTAACTTTGAAGAGTTTGAGGAGTTAACCATCTTGAGGAGTTTGCCCCCTCACATATACTAATGTGCCACAAACAGGACTTTGATATCACCAAACATTCCCATGTTATTACGGTGTATCCATATAAATGGCCCACCCTGTAGTCTAACATAAATGTAAATGCTGTAATTTGATTATTTTAATAAACCATGTAACTTGGATGGATTCAGTGTTGGCGTGATGTCTACTGTTGCTCACAGTGCTGGCCTAGATCGTTCCTGTCTACATCGCCTTCAACTGGTGCAGAACGCTGCCGCTCGCCTGTTGACCGGTTCAAAAAAAAGAGACCACATCACTCCGGTTCTCTGCTCTCTCCACTGGCTCCCAGTTGCTTTTAGGATTGATTTTAAAATCTTACTGCTGGCTTTTAAGGTTTTAAATGGCACTGCACCTTCTTACCTGTCAGAACTCCTTAGTATTTATCGCCCCAGGAGATCTTTGAGGTCAGCCGATCTGATGCTTTTAGATGTTCCCAGGTATAAATTAAAGACAAAGGGAGAGAGGGCGTTTGCTGTGGCTGCACCCAGACTGTGGAACAGTTTACCTCCTCACGTCAGATTCTCCAAAAGCCTAGAAACTTTTAAAACTGCTCTTAAAACTCACCTCTT